GTAAAGTGACATCTCAATTCCTTCAGCTTGTCTTCGAACTGATCATCATCAGCATTCTTACTGTAAAAACAAAAGAAGTTTTTATTTCTTAAATGAAGAACAGCCAAAAGAAAAAGCCAGATAAAGCACCTTGTATTTTAGTTTCTATTCTTCAAAGGAACACACTTCCTTTTATTTTCTTTAGAGTACCTGGATTTTTAAGATACGCACGGACTGTGTTTGCAGTTTGCTTGGCCCCATTCGCTGACTCTGGCACTTTCTAGCCAAATAACCAGGCTGTGCTTCAGAGTCCCATTTGTAAAATGGAGATGACAATAGTACTTGTCACGCTGGGCTTGGAGAGGATTAATAAGCCCATATATATAAAGCAGTTAGAGCATGTTCTGTGCTACATAAGTGTTTTCTATATTACTATTAATATAAATAGGCAGAGACCAGTTAAAAATGCAGAGCCTTAGGAAGCATTGTTGACTTGAAGACCCTCATCTGCATATATGCAGTAAATTAAGACCACCTAAGAAAGATAATATTTGACCAAAGTTATTTTTTTCTCACTTGTTATTTGGAAATAATTATAGATTCAGAGAATTTTGCAAAGGCCATACAAAGATCCAGTGTATCCTTCGTCCATGTTCCCCCAATGGTTATATCTTACATAGCTATAGTACAATATCAGAATTAGGAAATTGACATTGGTACAACAATGTGTGTATATAATTCTATGTAATTTGTTCTCATGGGTATATCTATGGAACCTTCACCTCCATCGAGATAGAGAACTACTCTACCACCAACACATCTTCCTCATGCTATTCCTTTATAATTATACCTGTCACGTCCTCACCTGCACCCCCCAGACATCCCTATTCCTTGGAATCCACTAATTTGTGTTTCATCTCTGTAATTTTGTCATTTCAAGAATGTCATATAAATGGAGAATGTCAAACAAAAGGAGAGTTCAATACATGAAAATCAACTAATGTAATATACCACATTAACAGAATGAAGGGGAAAAATATCTCATGATCATTTCAATTGATACAGAAAAAATATCTGATAAAATTCAATACTTTTTAATTATAAAACAATCAACAGACTAGCAATAGAAGGAAACTATCTCTACACAATGCAGGTCATATATAAAAAACACACATATGAAAGTACAGCTAGCATCACACTCATTGTGAAAGAATGAAAGCTTTTCTTCAAAGATTAAGAACAAGGTAAGT